GGAAAAACATTTTTCTTTCTTAAAGTCAGGAGTCTCCAAGGTTTCTGGGCCATTCCAAATACCAGTGGTAAATGATGAGGAAATGGAGAAGCTCTTCTTGTTGAGGTATCTGGAAGGAGATCCACTGAGCTGATGTGCTCTAAAAGCTGGGAATCCCACAGGAGCTGAGAGGAGAAGGGTGACCAGGAAGCCAGGACTCCTTTCTGGTTTAATGTCATGTTTTTGAAATAATAAACCCAGAGAAGTACATAAAGCATAATGTACAAATTAGTAAGCTTTCCAAAAGTGACTACACTCGTGTAAACAGTCCCCAGATCAAGAGAAATATTTGCAGTTCCTCCAAAGCCCCCTGAGACTCCAGTCCCTACCTCCACTGAAGGTAACCATTCTAAGCTGACTTTTGTATCTGGTTTTTGTTGCTCAACATTGTCTCTGAGAATCATTTAGTTTGTTATTTGTGGCTGCAGTTATTCCTTCTCATTGCTGTGTGGTATAAATCGTTTATTCTGCTACATGAATTGTTGATGGACACTGGGTTGTTAACCAATTTGTTACTATTAAAAATAATACTGCTGTGACATTCTTGTACTTGACTTTTGGTGACTAGGTATACATTTTTATGTTGGATGTATATCTAGGAATGGAATTGCTGATTCATGGTATATGTGTATGTTCATCTTTAGATATTATCAAACAGTTTTCCAATATGGTTTTATCAATCTATGTTCCCACCAGAAGTTTCTGAGGGTTCTGGTACTTACCTACCTACACTTGGTATTTTCCGTATCTCTAATCATAGTCATTCTGGTAAGTGTCAAGTGGTATCTCATTGTGGCTTTAATTTGCATTTCCTTGATGACTAATGCAGTTGAGCACCTCTTCAAGTATTTGTTGGCTGTTTAGACAGCCTGTTTATGAAATATCTGTCCAAGTCTTTTGTTTCTTTTTTATTGGGTTGTCTACCTTTTCCTTTACTGTGTGGAGTGCTTTTACATCCCCAGCTCCCCTGGTTGTTTGTATTATGGTCCCTTCGTGCCAATTTGAGAACAGCCTGAACTCACTAGAGAATCAGTCCTATGCTTTAGTTTCTCTGTTTAACCAGATGATTCATATAAAACAGTTTCATCTTTTTTTTTGGCTCGTCACAGTCTCCTAAATGCCCATCCTCTGATGATGCTGATGATGACAAAGATGATGATGCTGGCAGCTAATACTTTGTAGCACAGCCAGGCAGAATTCTAAGCACTTTACACACTCACTTATGTCATTATTCCATCAATGCATCTATGAAAACAGTACTATTGTTGTCCCTGTTTTGTTCGTATGGGAAGTGAGGCTTGGATGCTTAAGTTACCTGGTGTTAACTTGTACCTGTGATTAGATGCTGCCTTGGATAAGAAGGAATGTCTTGCTTATTTTTAAATGCTTCTTAACAATCAGTCACTCTAGCTTAATGATGTGCTGTGACAACAGCTGCCATTTCCTAAACCCTGTGCTAGGCATTCCTAGTACACTAACTCAGAGACTCTTCCTTAGAATTCTGGGGGCTGTGCTTTTATCAGCCCCATTTTAAAGATGGGAAGACTGAGGACTTGAGCGGTGAAGTGGCATACCCAAGGCCACACACCCACTAATCGTGAAGGCAGGATTCACACTCTGACTTGCCTGACTATGCCTGAGGTCACAGTTAGAGATCGCAGGCTGGTGACTCAGTGACTGCATTTAGCTTCAGATATAATGTGTTTAGTCTCCAAATTTGGAGTTTTTTAATTTGGCTACTTGTGAAAGTGTCGTGGCTGCCCCCTTTAGCTGGGGCCTGTGTCCTCTGGCTGGCTGTGGTTCTCACTCAGCCTGGCTGCACCCATTACTCTGCCAGCCTGTGTGGCCAGATGTAAGAATATACTCTTCCTCCTCTCCCCGACACCCCACACATCCATGAGGGGCAGGAATCACAATCACCCGTGGAACTCTTCAAGCTCTGCTTGCCCCACCATCCTAATATGCTAATACTGCCATAATAAGTTAACTCAGGGAATGTTGTCATTTTCTTACATTGCTTTATTGTTGTTGTTAGGTGCCATTGAGTCAGCACCAACTCATAGCGACCTTACGCACAACAGAACAAAACAGTGCCTGGTCTTTCGCCAGTCTCACCATCATTGCTACGTTTGAGCCCATTGCTGCTGCCACTGTGCCAATTGGGGGTCTTCCTTTTCGCTGTCCCTCCAATTTACCAAACGTGATATCCTTCTCCAGGGGCTGGTTCCTCCTGACAGTATGTTTGAAGTATGAAAGATGAAGTCTGGTCATCCTGGCTTCCAGGAGCATTCTGGCTGTACTTCTTCCAACATAGATTGGGCTGTTCTTTTGGCAGTCCATGGTACTTTTAATAGTCTTCTTCAACACCATAACTCAGACGCATCAATTCTTCTACTGGCTTCCATATTCACTGTCTAACTTGTGCATGCATATATTGCTTTAGGGCAGGATAAAGGCTGAAAATTCTGTATCCTCTTTCTAAAAAACATCACCAGTGCCAGACTAAACCAGAAAGATTATGGAATTAATGTTAGAATTTGCCATAGCAAATCAATTCTCAGAGCCTGGGTGTCCTCTTCTGTATCTGGAGCCAGTAGTCCCTGCCCTGCTCAGTTGCTTAGGTGTAACGTGGTCAGAAGAGCAGTCTGTCAACAAGGAAGGTGGTGTCCTCCTCTACTCTGAGTCTGAGAGTTTGACAGTGCCCTCAGCAGGGACCAGACCCCTGTATTCGGAGCCACCCTGCCAATAGCCTGTTCATCTCTTCCCTGTGTGGAAGTAGATTGTGTCAGATCATGTCTACACTCCAACCTGTCCACCCATGAGCAACTGCTATCGTGGACTGGGCTCAGGGCTATGAAAGGATTATCTCTATACTTGAACAAGTCCGCAAGACCCAGCTAATCTGCAAGGTCTCTCTCTATGTGTCTCACAGGCCTGAGCATTTATTGCATGAATCGTAGGTCTAGTAATTTATAACACAAATGTTCAGTTGTGCTAGGCCCTGTTCTGGTTGCTAAAGGTGAACAGGTATTCCCCAGACAGACACAATATGGCGAGGGTTGAAGGACTCTTCAGTGGCCTGAGTTCAGGGCTGGAACAGATGGCCTAACCTCTAGTACTAGGCTGGGGGCCTTGGCGTTTATCTTGATGGCATTAGAGACCCACTGAAGACTTTTGACCAAGGAGTGTTATTGTTAGGTGCCATCAAGTCGGTACTGACTCATAGCAACCTTAAGCACAGCAGAACGAAACACTGCCTGATCCTGGGCCAACCTCAATATTGTTGCCACGTTTGAGTCCATTGATGACTTAATTATCTCATTAGTCACTTAGGCAAGAACTAATGAGCTAAGGCATCAGTAGGTTTGAAGCTATAAAGTGAGAGCAGACTAGATGGGACTTGGTGCTGATGGACTGAGATAGGAGAGAAGAAATTGGGAGATACCCAGGGAGCTACCATTAGCTCATGGGAAGAAAAATAGGAGGAAGGAACATGATGAGTTTAGTCTGGGATGGGTTGAGTCTGAGGCTCTGTGGAACATCTAGCAGTTGCTATCTTGCAGGCAGCTGGACTCAGGAAAGTTCTAGGCTAGGGTAAGTCATGTGCTTATGTCCTTAGACATAGGAGTTGTTCATCTGTTCATTCAGCACACATTTATAAAGTATGCTGTAAGATAAAGCACTGGAGCTCAAGGTCGGTATGAGCCACATGGTTAGCAGTTCAAACGCACCAGCTGCTCCTTGGAAACCCGATGCAGGGTTGCTATGAGTCGGAACCGACTCGACAGCACTTAACAACAATAACATGCTAAGTACTATTATAAGTGCTTGGATACAGTGAACAAATACTTTTGGAGCAAAACACTTGGGGAGTTTCCATTCCAGTGGGCAGAGTCAGAAAAGAAATAGGTAAATATGATGTTAAACGGTGGTAAACGCAATGGATAACATTAAAGCAGGGTGGGTGCTGTTTCATATGGATGGTCAGGGAAGGCCTCACTGATTTTTTGGCATTTGAGCTGAGACCTGAACGAGCAAGAAAATGAGCCAGGCAGATATCTGAGAGAAGGGTGTCATAGGAAGAAGGAAAAACAAGTGCGAAGACCTTGAGGCAGGAGTATGCTTGGCCTGTTGAAGGAAGAGCAAAGAGGCTGGTATGACTGATACAGATTGAGCAAGGGGGAGAGGCAGAGGAGAGAGTGGGCCATAGACGTGGACGAGGGACAACAAAGAGACCAGGTAAGGCCACATAGGCCACTGTACAGACTTTTTCTCTTGAGAGGATTTCTAGCCTGAGTGCGACATGACATGACCTGGCTTTGTTGTTGAGAACAGACTATAGGAGATAAGGGCCGATGCTTTTTGGAGGTGGCTACAGCAATCCAGGGAAGGGGTGATAGTAACTCTGCAAGTAGATGGCTGAAAAATAGGTGGTTGTTGTTAAGTGCTACATAGCGACCCTGTATAGGGTTTCCAAGGAGCAGTGGTGAGCTTGAACCGCCAACCTTGCAGTTCAAACAGCTTTGTAGTCTGGTGCATTGACCCACAGCACCACACCCTGGATATATCTCAACAGGAGAAATGACAAAGTTTGCTGATGGGTTGATTGAGAGAGATGAGAAACAAGGAATCAAAAATGACTAATTGTTGCTTGATATGATGAATGTCATTAATGTCACTAAATTGTACATGTAAAAACTGTTGCAATGGCCAATTTTGTCATATATATACTCACCACAAAAGGAATTAAAAACAAGAAAGAATAACCCAGAGATTTGGGCCTGCTCACCAGGAACAGAGTTGCCATTAGGTAAGCAGGTCTGGGGAGAGATTAAGAGTTCAGTTTTGGATAGGTACCTTGTAGACATCTATATAGGAATTCCAAGTAGTCAGTCCTTCCTAGCAGGACCACTAGCAGAACCTCCCCACATTGAGAAGTGATCCCTGTCCTCTGCCCCCAGGTGGTGCACAGAGACCTCAAGCCCAGCAACATCCTGTATGTGGATGAGTCTGGAAACCCTGAGTGCCTGCGCATCTGTGACTTCGGCTTCGCTAAACAGCTGCGGGCTGAGAACGGGCTCCTCATGACACCTTGCTACACTGCCAACTTTGTGGCTCCTGAGGTGAGTGGCCTGGCCTCCTCAAGTGAGAGGGTGAGGGGACATAGCACCCAGGGATCCTTGTTGTATGGGGCTGCTCTCCACCGTCCCTCAGACTAACCTCCCCACCAGGTCCTGAAGCGTCAGGGCTACGATGAAGGCTGTGACATCTGGAGCCTGGGAATTCTGCTGTACACCATGCTGGCAGGGTGAGTGTCCCCGTGAGCTGGGGTCCCCTCCCAAGCCCACTCCTTTACAGCCCTAGTTCTCAGAGTGTGGTGCTGCTTGTCTGATGGGTAGATTCAGCCCTGCCTTCAGAAGGGTCTAAGAATAGAGGCATGGCCCTGCTTTGGGGAGCTCTACCATGAGGAGGCAGTTACTGCCCTTGGGAGTCCACTCTGAGTCGGGAGATAGACCCCCTCCGCCACCACCCTCAAAATTGAGGCCAGAGACTATGCCTGTGTGGGCTTTTCCCCAGATACACTCCATTCGCCAATGGGCCCAGTGACACACCAGAGGAAATCCTGACACGGATCGGCAGTGGGAAGTTCACCCTTAGTGGGGGAAATTGGAACACAGTTTCAGAAACAGCCAAGGTGAGTCTGGAGACCTGGACCAGGCTGATTTGTGAGGGGATGCAGCAATCCCATCTCAGGGCTTTCTGTAGTTGATGGACAGGTGGCCTCATTTGTCCAAGTAGAATGTTGTACAAATCCTTCATGCTCTTTTCTCCAAGTGAAAGATTCCCAGGCAGACCACCACCCACCCTTACGCCTATCTTGCTGATCACTCAGTGACCATTCATTGGGCACTGTCGGGAACAGAGGGCTACATCACCGACATGTGGAATGTGGTGTGGTGGGAGATACAAGCTTGCATACAAGAGCAGAGATGCTACACAGCAGAAAGGTGGGCCCTGTTGGACAGAAATATAAGCAGTGGAGGCACAGAACAGAACAACTGGCCACACCAAGCAGAGAGGCCTGCTCAGAGGAGGTGGCATTTGAGCTTTCAATATTAATAGTAGTTTCCAGTTATTCAGAATCTCAGACATGGAACTGAGCCCTTTATTAGCATTGTAAGGTAAATATTGTCCCTATTCTCAGAGGAGTAACTGAGGCTCAAAGAGTCGAAGACTTGTACAGGGCACTCAGTTGATGAATGCAGGAGACAACTTTTGAACCTAACAGTGCCCAACCTAAAACCTTAGGGTTTCACTACCTTACCATATAACTTCTTGAAGGTAAAGAAGAAAGGGAAGGGCATTCCAGGAAGAGGTTTCTGCCACAGTAAAGGCCTGTAGATGGAGATGCACTATCTAGTCTTGGGGAGACTGGAGAATCACAGGGGCTATGCAAAGGTCAACATAGAATGAGTTGCCTTGCTCATTCCCTGTCTGTTTCCCTACTGACCTCTCCCACCAACCACCGTGTCCCTAGGATCTGGTGTCCAAGATGCTACACGTGGACCCCCACCAGCGCCTTACAGCCAAGCAGGTTCTCCAGCACCCATGGATCACTCAGAAAGACAAACTCCCCCAGAGCCAGCTGTCCCATCAGGACCTGCAACTCGTGAAGGTATGGCCACGCTCAAGCTGATGGGCATCTGGGAGCTTTAGCCAAGGTTTCCTTGGACAGGGACCTGGGATGACAGCCAGGAGGTGCTGTTTCTGTGCCAAGCACCATCAGGTGGGGCAGAGAAAACAAGACACAGCCCCAGTCTAACTTGCAGTGGTGTCAACATTGCACTCATGGGGCTCAGAGCTCTGAGGGCATAGCCCCTGACCTGGAAGATCCCAGGACCCACGCACATAAACAAACACCAACACTAGCATAACAGTGGGCTGGGTGGGCCTTGGAATTTAGAGACGGCTGGAACACAGGGAGGGACTGGCCTGACCCTAGAGCATGTCATCTGGCAAACTGACCACTCCCACATTTCCTCCCAGGGAGCCATGGCAGCCACATACTCTGCGCTCAATAGCTCCAAGCCCACTCCCCAGCTGAAGCCCATTGAATCATCTATCCTGGCCCAGCGGCGGGTGAGGAAGCTACCATCCACCACCCTGTGAGGGGCCAGTACATCCAGGCCGCAGGGTGGTGCTAGCTCGAAGGAGGCAGCATACTTCCCAGAGGGAGCAGGCCTGAGTCACAGGGCCAGAGGGAGCTGGAGCCCCGAGGACCCAGGAAGCAGCCAGCCCACATCACCCCAGTGAGGGTGTGAGAAGTGCCTTCTCCTTGCCCAGGATGGACTCTTCTCAGCTCAGGCTCTGCTGGTTGAAATTGATTCACTGTACAAACTCATCTTTGTTGAAGGGAAAAAAATCCAAGGCATCAACCACCATGGATTTTTACAAGATCCGTTTACCTTTCTGGCAGCAGAAGTAGCCAAGGCAGCCCAGGAGAAGTACTGAATCATGCTAGGGTTCTATGTGGCTGAGACTCCTCAGAGCAGCTTGGGTGGGGGACCCCCACAATTGGCTGTTTGTAGCCATCTGCACACACCTCCAAAGCAGTCCAGCGTCAACGTCCAGAGACTTTGGCTGTTTAGAATGCATTCTATCCCCAGCGCCCTTTCCGTTCTGTTCTGCTGGGGGGGTCTGGAACCACATCCTGCTAGAGGCAAGGAACAAGGCCCAACCGACTCCCAGCTCCAGACACCAGCATCCGCATCCGCCCCGCCAGTGGGTCCCTTGCAGTCAAGTTGGGCTGCCCCAGGGGAATCATCAGAAAGCACTTTTTGGCCGACTTCTGTTGGGGTCTGCCACAGGACCGAGTTCACCGAAGGCCAGTGGGGCAGGCCACAGGGGTGAGGGGCTTTTTGTTTCTGTTTGTTTCGTTTCTTCCTCAGCTGGATACTCAGGGTTCATCTGTCCATGGCCTTTCTAATAAACTTACAGTTGAGTTGAAGCCCCCTGTCCTCTACTTTTTAATCCATACTTGCTCTCTCTCTGCTATTGGCTCTCAAGAACTTTGGCAGAACTTTGACAAGAAATGGGCCAGGTCCAATGAGCCCACTGCTGGAAGTGCAAGTCATTTGGTAAGTGTGTAGGGATCCTGCTGGTCCTGCTCAGCAGTTTCCTGCTGGAGGACTCCATTATGATATTGATAACAGTGATAGTAATATTAGCCACCAGTTACCGAGTACCAGACACTATGCCTGAGCAGTACTTGTTGTTGTTGTTGTTAAGTGTCATCAAGTTGAGCACTACTTATAGATATCATTTAATCTTAACTCTGTGATGTGGTGGCTGCTGTGTTTTCTCTGTTTTATAGATGGGGAAACAGGCTCAAGGGAATTAGGTGCAACAAATATTTTCTGAACATCACTTGCCCTGCAGATGCTGGAGTTAGAGTAGTGAACCAGCTAGACATGGATCTTATCTCCTAGTGGGGGAAACAGACAGTTAGCAAGCCAGTGTCAGCTACTGATAAGGCATGCACAGAGAATTAAATTGGGGTGAGGAGTGGGAGTGACTTCATATATGGTGGCCAGGGAAGGCCTTTCTAGGGAGATGACACAGAAGCAGAGACCTGAATGGTGAGAAGGAGCTAGCCAATCCAAGACCAGAGGCAGAAGCCAGAGGCAGGGCAAAGACCCCAAAGGGGGAAATAGATTGGCCATGCTCAGGGACCAGAAAGAAGGCCAGTCACACTGAGGCCAGGGTAAGAAGTTAGGGTTTAACTCGGTGAGATGAAAGCCCTTGCTGTTAAGTGCTGTTGAGTCAGTTCTAACCCATAGTGACCTTATGCACAACAACAAAACACTGCCTGGTCCTGTGCCAATCTCACAATTGTTAAGCTTGAGTCCATTTCTGCTGCCACTGTGCCAATCCATCTCATTGAGGGTTTCCCTTTTTTCACTGACCCTCCACTTTAGCAAGCATGATGTCTTTCTCCAGGGACTGGTCCCTCCTGATTGTTGTTGTTAGATGCCATCGAGTTGGTACCGACTCATAGTGACCTTATGCACAGCAGAACGAAACACTGCCCAATTCTGGGCCAACCTCACAACTGTTGCCACGCTTGAGTCCATCAATGCTGCCACTTGGCCAATCCATCTCGTTGGGGGTCTTCCTCTTTTTCTCTGACCCTCC